ATGGACAAATCAGCAAATGGGAGACGCTGTGTTAATAGAATGAAGGACAAAGGAAATACGATCATTATGGTAAATGCAGAGAAACCACCAGGCATAGTAGGGATTCTTAACACACTAGGAACAGAAAACTGTGTCTTGGTGGAATAAACAAAGGCCATCTGTGGCAAGCCCACAGCTAACATACTCCATGGTGAAAAGTTCAAAGCTTTTCCTCCAAGACCAGGAAGAAAACAAGATGTTCACTCTCTCTGCTTCTGCTCAACACAGTGGAAGCCCTAGGCAGAGAAATTGTTAAGCAGGACAAAGAAATAAAGACATCTAAATGGGAAATAAAGATGTGAGATGGCCTCTGCTGGCCTCAAACTTGCAATCCTCCTGACTCAGCCTCCCAAGTGCCATGACTATGGGCTTTCACTACAATGCTTGGCTCTTGACATGATCTAATGTATAGAAAATCCTTAAGAGTCCATCAAAAAAATCACGAGAATTTGTAAATGAACTCAGTAAAGCTGCAGGGTACAAAAATCAATATACAAAAATCAATTGTGTTTCTATACAGTAAAAACAAAGAAAGAAAATAAGAAAAGATTTACTTATAATAGCACTAGAAATAATAAAATACCGAGGAACAAATGTAACCAAGTAGTAAAATATTTGTACACAAAGCTATAAAACAATTGTTTTGGTTACACTTTTTTGGGATTGAATCAAGGGCCTTCATACTGAGGTATATCTTCCATCTGGTTTTTTGTTTGTTTGCTTTTTTTGGCGGGGTACCAGGGATTGAACTTGGGACCTTGCACTTGTGAGGCAGGTGGTGGCACCACTGAGCTAAATCGCCAACCCTCTTCCATCTGTTCTTAAATTTTTATTTTAAAACAAGGTCTTGGTAAGTAGCCAAGTTCCCCAGGCTGGGCTTGAACTTGTGATCCACTTGCCTCAGCCACCCAGAGTGCTGGGATTGGAGTAGTGCACCACCACATCCAGCTAAAGCACCGATGAAAGAAATTGAAGATGACATGTATCCTGTGTTCACAGGCTTTAATACATAACATTGTTAAAATGTCCACACTAAGCAGAGCGATTTATAAATCCAATGCAATCCCAATCTAAATTTCAATAGCATTTTTCACAGAAATAGAAACAATAATCCTAAAATACCCATGGAAGTACCCGTGCACACACACACACACACACACACACACACACACACTTGAATAGCTAGAGCAATCTTGAGCAAGAAGAGCAACGCTGGAAGTATCACAGTGCCTAATTTTAAAATGTGTTACACAACTCTAGTAATCAAAACAATGTGAAATGGAACAGAATAGAGTCTGGAAATAAATTCATACAGTTTTGGTCAAGTTGTCTTCCACAAAGGAGCCACAGATGCACAATGGGGAAAGGCTGGTCTCTAGCAAATGCTGTTAAGGCAACTGGATGTCCCCACGGAGAATAACACATTTGAAAACCTTTCATACACCATATTAAAAAATCAACTTGCCGGGGATTTAGCTCAGTGGTTCCAGTGCCTGCCTCGCAAGTGCAAGGTCCCGAGTTCTATCCCCAGTACCAAAAAAAAAAAAAAATCAACTCTATGGGCCAGGGATTTATCTCAGTGATGCCACTGCCTGCCTTGTAGGTGCAAGGTCCTGAGTTTGATCCCTGGTACCAAAAAAACCAAACCAAAACAAATCAAAATAAAAAACGAACTCAAAAATCCCAACTTTGAATTTATTAAGGACTTAAACAGAAGACCTGATTCTGAGCAACTAGTAGAACAAAACTTCTTGGCATTGGTGTGGGTAATGATTTTGTGGATATGACTTTAAAAGGTTAGGCAACAAAAGCATAAAGTAGATGCGGAGGATGCTGTCACACTGAAGAAGTTTCTATGCAGCAAGGGAAACAATCAACAAAACGAAGAGATAACCTGTAGAATGGGAAAAATAGTCGCATATACTTGAAAAGGAGTTATATTCAGAGCATATAAGGAACTCAATTTAATTGCAAGAAATCAAATAACCCAACAGAAGAAATGGGCAAAGGACCTGAACAATCATTTTTCAAAAAAAGACAGAGTTGAGCATGGTGGCGCACGCCTGTAATCCCAGCACTCAGGAGGCTGAGGCAGGAGGATCACTGTGAATTCGAGGCCAGCCTGGGCTACATAGTGAGTTCAAGGCCAACCTGAACTACATAGAGTGACCCTGTCTCAAAACAAACAAATAAACAAACAGACACACACTTGAATGGCCAACAGGTAAATGAAAAGGAACACAGGAGCTGGGAACCATGGTGCACGTCTTTAATTCCAGCTACTAGGGAGGCTGGGCCAGGAGGATCACAAGTTTGAGCCTAGCCTGGGCAACTTAGCAAAGGCCTGTCTCAAAAATAGGGCTGGGGATGTAGCTCAATGGCAGAGTGCTGGCCTAACGTGCATGAGGTCCTGTGTCCCCAGTACTGAAAAAGAAGTGCTCAGTGTCACTTAGCAATTATCAGATAAGTGTAAATTAAAACCACAATGAGCTATCACCTCACACCTGCTAGGAAGCCTGGTATGAAAAAGACAAGAGATGACAAGTGTGGGGAAGGACGTGGAGAAAAGGGAACCATTGTACATTGTTGGTGGGAACATAAATAAACATAGTTATTATGGAAAGCACTAAGGAGGCTCCTCAGCAAATTAAAAATAGAACCACTACATGATCCAACAGCCGCACCTCTGGGTATGCATCCAAAGAAAACGGAATCGGTATCTCCAAGAGACACCTGCACTCTCGTGCTTGCTGCTGTGCTAGTCTCTATAGTTGAGGTGGGACACAATCTAAGGTTCTCCCGGCGGGTGGATAAACAGAGGATGGCAGAGCAGTGTTAGGGAATACTGCAAGCCCGCAGTCCCAGCACTCCGGGTGGCTGCGGCAGGAGGGCTGCCACTTTGAGGCCAGCCTGGGCAATGAGAGACTTAGGGAGATCTTGTCTCAAAAAGAAGGAAGAGGAGGGCTGGGGATTTAGCTCAGTGGTTTCGCCGCTTGCTGTGCAAGCGCGAGGACCCGAGTTTGATCCCCAGTACCCCACCCCCCCAAAAAAAGGAAGAGGAAGAGGGAGAAGAGAAAAGGAGAAGAAGAAGAGGAGGAGGACAGAAAGAAAAGGAGGAAGAAAGGGGGAAATCCTTCCTTAGTGACAACAGGGACAGATCTGGAGGCCATTATGTTAAGTGGAACAAGCCGAGAATCCCTGCAGATGTCACTTACATGCGACAGCTCAGAATGATGCTCACCAGAACCTGGAGGCCAGTGGGAACCTTTTGTGCTGCTCCAGTGACATGGGCCCCAGAGCTGCCACCTAGGAGCTCCCAGTTCCGTGTGAACCCCACAGGACGTGAGGCCACACAGCCCCCCACTGTATGCAAACTCTGGTGTCCAAGTGCAGGAGTCAGGGATGGACACGGAGATGGCGGGTCTTTCCCAGGCAGAGGCCTGCAGGGCGGCGCTGGGAGGGGTCCAACAACGGCTCCGAGAAAGGAAGCTGTGGTGTGTACGCAGTGTCTGCCGACGTTTTTGTTCGCTTGTTGGTTTTGTTGGTTTGTTGGAGACAGGGTCTCTTGCTGTGTAGCCCAGGCTGGCCTTGAACACACTATGGATGTACTTATTGAGTAGAGTGCTAATTGAAATAAAGTATTTAATTGGAAGTTTATGGAATTTAATTTTTAATGGTGACTGTATTTAGCAAGTGGCTCGTAAAACTCCTGAAAATTTGCCAGGCAGAGTTGTCAGCTGGAGTGAGCAGGGCCTGGTGTACTGAGCTCACCCAGCCCATGTTCCATGGCCTTTTTACTCACTGGGCCTCTGCTTTAGTTTCAAATTGTATTTTTGTTTTTTCTCCTCCGTTTCACCCTGCAGAATACCGACTCTTTCCTTTTACTTTGTGCGCTCCATGTGTGGATGTGGTACTGGGGACTGAACCCAGGCCCTTCCCACTGAGCTACACCCCCACACTGTTTTATTTTGTATTTTGAGTCAGGGTCTGCCATGTTGCTAAGCTGCCAGGTTGAGCTCAAACTTGTGATTCTCTTTTAAAAAAATATTTTGTTTAATTTTTTAATTAGTAGGTTTGAGGTACATAATGTTTACCTTCCTTATGCAGAGTTGGTATAAGTGTACAGGACACACCTTTAATTCCTTTTTTCATTCCCTTTCCTCCATCTCTGACCCCCTTCCCATTTGAGAAAGATCTATCTCCTGCTTCCTATTATCTTTCTTTTATTTTGTTCTTATTTATAATTTGGGTTTCTCATAGAAGGGAAACCATCTGATATTTAAGCTTGTGTGTTTGATTTATATTACCTAACATGATGGTCTCAAGGTACATTTATTTTCCCACAAATGACTCAAGTTTATCCTTCTTTATGGCAGAGTAGTACTCCATTGTGTGTAAATACCACATTTTCTTTATCCATTCATCTATTGATGGACATATAGGCTGCTTCCAAGATTTAGCTATTATGAATTGTGCTGCTACAAACATGGGCATGCATGGACCTCTGTAATAGGATGTCTTTGACACTTTCAGGAAGGCACCTAGAAGGGGAATAGCTGGCCATCATCAAGAAATCAAATAATAAAAAAATGCTCACGAGGCCATGAGGAAAAAGCCTTCTATACTTGGTGAGAATGTAAACTGGTACCACCATTGCTGAAGTCACTGTGAAGTCCTCAGAAGGCTAGAACTAGACATACCACTTGACCCAGCTATTCCACTTGTGATCCTCCTGCCTCAGCTTCCAGAGTGTTGGGATTATAGGCATTCACCATAGCTCCTGGCCAGAATCCAGGATCACTGAGGCAGGGATTCCGAATGACTTGTTCACAACCTCCCTCCAGCTCCTAGGATCACACCTGGGAGGTGCTCCCGCCTGGGATGCAGGTGGAAGCAGAGATGAGGACGAGAGGCCTAACACAATGGGTCTGTGGGGCCAGCTCGGCTTGGAAACAACTCACTGGGCCCTGCATGTTTTCCCGGGATGCATGGAATGAAGGGGAACTGGGGATGGAGGGTGGAAATACGGGAGTGAGAGGGAGGCCTTCCTGCGACTTGACCTCCGGAGGGGATGAACTCGGCTGTCCTCCCTGAGGCCACTCTGGGAGACGGGGGCTACATTTGCAGTTTCCCAGGAAACAGAGCCGCTCCGGAACCTCAGCATCGAGGAGAGGAGACCGAGGCGGCCCCGATCCAAGTCACACCGCAGGGCACCAGGCAAGGAGAGGGCAGCTGGTCCCTGGAGCCGCACCCGGCCCAGCCAGCCACTCGTCAGAGCAAGGCTCTCCAGGGCGCTGAGAGAGAGGAGGAGGGGGGTCGGGGCTGTGCGGTCTTTATTGTGATTTGCTTGGTTTTTAGAGGCAGGAAGAGTTTTGAGAATTGTCTTCTCAGGGCTAGGATGCCAGGGCGGTGCCCAAGGGGAGCCTGGGCAATGGTGACCTCGTGGGGGTGGGGAGAGAAACCCCGAACAACTTCCCTGGGAAAAAGGGTGGAGCCGAGTGAGGTCAGGATGCAGGGCTGGACCCCGGGGCTGAGGGGGAGGCTAGGGCCACCCAGGGCCACCGATGGACCTCACTCCGAGTTCACTGGCCCTGCTCCGTTCTCTGGATCCAGCTGCGGTACTTGCACAGGTTGGTGTAGACCCCAGGGTAGCCAGGCAGGGCGCAGCGCTCCATCCCCCAGGACACGAGGCCCTGGAGCTGTCCTCCGCACACAAGGGGCCCCCCAGAGTCACCCTGAGGAGGAGGAGGACGGAGCTGGAGACCCCGGGGTGGACGGGGAGTGTGGGGGCCGAGACACCGCCGTCCTCCCCAGCACTGAGCCCGGCTGCAGTGGGCCCTGGCTCCCCTCCCAGGCTCTGTGCTGGCCTCTGTCCCTTGGGCCTCACAGGGCTCCTCCCATCTTTGCTGACCTCCAGAGCACCCTGAGCATCTTTTTTCTTCTCTCCCCATCGCTGCCTGTCTCAGAGATGCACTCAGGTTTCCAGGGGCCCTGGCACAGTTTTCCAGATTCCCCTGCTGGGGGCGCTGCTCTGTGCCCTTGCCATGGACCACTACATCCAATTCCACCAAGCCTAGGGAGTGCTATCCCCTCAGGATGAGGGACTGAGGCCTCAAAGGATTAAGTCTGAAGGGGCGCAGGGCTGTCATCCTTTCTGTCCCTGGGGTTTCCTTTCCCAACCACCTCATCTGCTTTCCTGCTCCTGAGCTCCTTTGCTAGTAAAGGCCCAGCCCTGAACAACCCTTCACACCCTGGCCTCACCTGACAAGAGTCCTTCCCGCCCTGGGGGACTCCAGCACAGACCATGCCGGCGGTGATGTTAGGATAGGCCCGCTGGCACTGGGGACTCGAGATGATGTTGATATTCACGCATTGCAGAGCATTGGGGTACCTGGCTGAAGGTAGGGGGCACCAAAGGTCATGACTGGGGTCTGCTCTGCCTTAAGACCCTGGCATCCAGGCCCAGCCTCCTCCCTCAGACCCGGGTCCGGGCCCCTCCTTCCAGGATTCAGCTGCCTTTACCGATAGGGCTGGATGTAGTGCCCCAGCCTGACACACGGCAGGACGTCCCTGGGCTGGCACAGGACTGGGCCAGGCTGATTGGTCTCACTGCCCTCCCGATCCGTGCTCGCTGGCTCAGCCGCAGCAGCATCAGGTCGCTGTCGTGGGTCCGGGCGTTGTAGCGGGGGTGTGGCACCTGGCGCTCCACGCGCAGCACCTGCTGGGTGGCCTCCCACTTCTTCAGGTTGTGCTTGCCCAAGGCAACATGAAGGATCCTGGCCCATGGCCCCCAGGGGTAATGCTGCTGCAACCAATCTGACCTGGCGACTCCTTCCCAGCCCCACTTCCTTCCCCTGGTGATGTTTTCCCCTAAGTCCAACCCTCCTCACCCTACTGCAGGCTGGGCTTTTTCTGGGCTCCAGTGCCTTCTCTTGGGCCTGGGGACTCTCTCCTGGCCCAGCCTCACTGGGGGCCCCTTCTTGGGCTGTGCTCTGGCTCTTTGCTTAGGTATAAAGTGACGGTTGGAATTCTTGGCTGAATTCCAGTCTGTCCAAAGATCTAGGCTTCGAGTTCTAAATGAGACCCCTAAGTTATGGCTCCAAGCTCTAAATCAGAATTGATATTCTGGAGTCAGCTCCATCCAGATTCTACCTTGGGCTCTTGGTTCTAGATATTTTCCAGTTCTGACTATAGCTTAGGATCAGGATTCTAGATCAAGTCTGGATTATGGCATAATTTCTAGATTCTGGTGTGAGCTTTATGTTTGAGAATGAGCTGAGGGTTTTATTTTGAGCTTTGCATTATGGCTTGGGTTTGGGTTCTAGATTGTGGTGTGAGCTTTTAGTTATAGGGCAGGCTGAAGATTCCACATGAGCCATAGACTGACTTGAGCTAGTGGATTCTGGGCACTTACATGAGCTCATTTCTAGGCTGAGCTCTGGGTTCTTGATGAAGCTCTTATGGTCTGGGTTTTAGACAATAGCCTGAATTCTGTGATCTGGTTAGGCTCAGAGTTCTGAACATTGGTTTGAACTCTTCTTTATAGGACAGATTCTGTTTCAGACTTAATGACAATTTATAATCTGGGCTTTTGATTCTAGACTGGTCTGAGCCCTGGACCTTAAGTGTTCTCAAGGTTCTAGATGGAGCTCAGGTTATGATCTCACTCCAAAGATCTAGAGAGTAGTTTTAACCTGGGATTTATGTTCTAGAATCTGTTCTGAGCTGCAGTCCCTAGGTTCTAGACTGAACCTCAGTTTATGGCATTAGAGCTAGCTTATAGGGACTGGGCGGGCTCTAGTCTAAATTTTGACTTCAAGGCTAGGGTTTGGGTTTTAGGCTCTGGTCCAAAATCTGGGAAGGGTTCTGGGTTCTTACGGAGCTTCAGATTATCATCTGAATTCTGGAATTTAAATTCTGGGTTGGAGTCTGGGTCCTAGATTTCTCAGGAGGAGCTGTAGGTGAGATTTTGAATTAAGCCTGGGATCTGGAATAGGCTCCAGGCTTTGGGGCTAATCTTACAGTCATGTGCTCCAGCTGTAAAATGGTTCTGGATTTATGTCTAGATGGTATATTCTGATCTGGGCTTTGGGTTCTGGGGAGTGTTCTGAATTTCTGAATGTAGACTGTACCCTGAATCCAATTGCCAATCTGGAATGGGCTATTCTAAGTCTCAGTGGAGCTTGGACCCTGGATGGATCTCCAGGTATGTGTTAAGCTCTAAACTGGTTTATGGGTTCCAAGGTGCTGACTGGCTTTCAGAATCTAAACTGGGTTCAAGATTTATGGGCTGGATTCCATATTCTGAGCTATATCTTTCACACTAAGATCTTCTCTAGATCCCAAACCAGGAGCCAGCTACTATGCTGAGTTCTACACCAGGCTCTGGGCTCTCAGCCGAGCTCGGGGGGTCTAGATGGGAGTCTAGAACTCACTTGGCCTAAGAATAGGGGAGGGGACCACTCACGGGCGGGCGCAATGAGCAGCAGTGATGACCCACTGGTCCGACAACAGGACCCCTCCACACAAGAACCGACGCCCGGGCCCAGCCAGAAGAGCCACCTGCCACGGCTGGGAGTTCTGGACGCAGGTGTAGCCACCGATTACCTTGTTATCATCCTCAGGGCCCTGGGCCGTGGCTAGGAGTAGACAGGGATGGGGTGGAGAGAGCAGGTGAGGACTCTCCACCCCAGCCCGACAGAATGTCCAGCTGATGGGGCGCTTTCCTTCCTTCCAGCCTAACCCTCACATTACTCTCTTTCTTCCCTGCCCAATGGAACATTTAGCCAACATTTTCCCCGTTATTGGCCCAAGAGGAGCAGGGAATGTTTAGAGCTCTCCCTCAAGTGGCCTTCATGGCCTCTAATGCTGTGTCCTCAGCCACCGCAACACCTACCCCTCTCAACAGGCCCCGCCACATTGCCCTCCAGCCCTCCCCCAAGTGCCCCAGGAGCTCCCTGTGTCTTCCCCTCCATCCCTCTCCACGTGGCCTTCAGGATCTGTTATCTTCATCTCCATCCACTCCACCCAGCACGCTGCACCACCCCGCTGTGTCCACCGCTCCTCCACCTTCCTGCTGACCACAAGCCACTCGCCTGGACTACTTCCTCCCTGACCTGCCCAGGGAGCACTCTGTGGTCCTCCGTTCCGGCAGGACCCTCGCAGGACCACAGTCTCCCTGATTCCTTGTTTATCTCCCCGTCTCCTACCACGGCCTCTGTCTCCAACCCCACCACTTCCTCCATCTGGACTCGAACCTTCGGCCTCCAGCCCGGACCACCCCGCTCTCTCTCTGCTGGCCACCTCTGAGCATTCTCACTCTCAAAGGCCTTCTCGGGCTCCTCTCAGGGGCCCCTCACCCGCGCCTCGTTGTTGTCTTACCTACAGCCAGGACTTGGAGGGCTGCCAGCAGGAGGAACATTCTGGGGCTGGCGAGGGGTTGGCAAATGGGGAGAGAGAGTGGGAGAGAGGGAAGCCAGAGGCCAGGGCTGAGGCAGAGGGAGAGCCACTGAGACGGAGACCCAGCCCCTCCGGGACGTGGAGCCAGGACGAGGCAGGGTCTGCAGGAGGATGCTGAGCAGGCGCAGGTCCTCAGGTCCTCAGGTCCTCAGGTCCCTTTGTGGTGCCCAAAGGAGGGAGCACGGTGTCACTTCCTAGTAGAGCCAGCAAAGCCTTTTATCCCCATCTGGGCCCTGCCCCAGTGCCCTTCGGGTCACATTCCATTTTTATTGTCTGGTTTCCCTGCCCGGACTCCGGCTTCCCCTGCCCTTCCACCCCTTTGGGGCCGAGGAGCAGCCACAGTCGTTAACAAGAACCCGCCCTCGAAAGATTCGATAATTTGGGAGGAATCTGGGCAGCGTGGACAGGGAGGGTGTCCCTTCCAGAGGTGAGGCAGAGGCGTAGCCTTGCTGGTGGGCTGGCGAAATCAGGGAGGGGGCTCAGAGGAGGGAGCTGGGATGCAGGCAGCCGAGGGAGGAGAGCAAGGGGCTGGGCCGAAGGGGAAGTAGGAAGTGAAGGCAGAGACACGGGGAAGGAAACAGGTGCAGAGAGGGGCGTGCTGCAGGTGGAGAGGAGAGAGACGGAGGAAGGGGAAAGAAAATGAAGATGGCCGGTCAGGGGAAGGTGGGTAAAAGCAAGACCCAGAGAGGGAGCGGCCCAGTGACACTGGAGAGGCAGCAAGGACAGGCAGGGAGACAGCGAGGACGCAGGAACTCGAGTGGAAGGAAGAAAGTGGAAGGGAGAGGACAGCCAGGTGACAGACAGCAGGAGTCTGGGGGCAATGGCACCGACAGGTGAAGCAGACACAGACAGAGGGGCTGGGGGCGCCGCAGGAGACGGGGCAGACGGAGCCCAGGACGGCACAAGTGTGAGGCAGGCAGGAGGCCTGGGAGCTGGGCCCTGACGGTTCTGAGGTGCAGGGGGAGGAGGGTCAGCACCAGGGCGGCTGGGCCCAGCTTGGGCCCTGCAAAGGGGTGGGGAGGGACAGGGTACACAGGCTGAGGCAGAGCTGGAGACTTGGGGAGAGGGAGGGAGGCCCAGGGATAACAGCGGGTGGGGTGGGTGAGAGGGGAAAAGGTCCAGCCTGCCTGTGGGAGGGCCTAGGACTGGGGGTCCGTCCGGTCTTGGGGGAGGGCTGCTCGTCACAGCCCCTCCCCCAGCCTCTTAAACTCCCTAATGATTGTAATTTGTCTCTGGGCCTTGGCAGTCCTGTCCTGGGCCACGCGGTGACTCAGGAGGCTTCCCGCCTGTGCTCTCCCTTGCCTACCCCGGACGGGTTCCCAGCCACTTCTTCACAGGCTGCGTCCACAGTCCCAGCCTTTCTCTGCCCCGGGGACCAAACCCTCCCTAAAGAATCCTCTGGGAACACAGGGGTGGGGAGTTCGAGGGAGCTGACCTGTGGTAGTATGCAGTGTGGGTCAGTGTGTGTGTGCTCACGCGCGTGTGGTACTGGGGATGGAGCCCAAGCCTTCACACTGAGCTACATCCCCACCCTTTTTTATTTGTATACTTTGAGGCAAGGTCTTGCTAAATTGCTCAGGCTGGACTCAAATGTGAGATCCTCCTGCCTCAGCCTCCAGGACTTCTGGGGTCACAAGTGTGCAGCACTGCTCTCGGTGAGCTGTGGGCATTGACGTGGGAGGGTTACCAGGATCCACCCTGGGACGAAGCGACGCGGAGCCCCACACGAGTGGGTGTGCGCACACACGCAAGGAGATGCAGCCAAGCAGTGGACATGGGGTGAGACCCACAGCCTAGGTAACAGGGTCTCCGTACCCAGGTGTCCCCATGCAGGGCAGGTGAGGAAGGGCACGTCAGAGTCTGTCCTGTAGGTGAGGGACTTCAGCTGAGTCTACCATCAACTAAAGAGTTAAAAACCAAATGGAATTCATGTTCCTGGAAAGAGCCAAGCTTCAGGGAAGGCCCCGGGGAGCCCCAGAGTGGCCAGGAGAAGGCTGGGGGTGCATCAGGAAGGAGCGTGGCCAGCCCGCCACGGCTAGGCTGGCTTGGGCTGTGAGGTGGGCACTAGACACACAGGCGGACAAACGCATGAACGAAGCAACGCATGAACGCATGAAGGCACAGCCACTGTCCGGGCCTCCCTCCGTTTTGCAGGTCGGCTAAGGCAGCGACTTGAGACTCCACCGAGCGTCCCGAGCCCGAGCCCGAGGGAGCACCAGACGTGAGGAGGAGCCTCCAAAGGGTGGCTGGAGAGAGAGAGTGTGTGTGTGTGTGTGTGTGTGTGTGTGTGTGTGTGTGTGAAGGAGTCTGGTGGGGAGAGCAGAGAGGCCAGATGCAGCAGGGGCCTGAACTCCACATAGAGGCGGTTTGAGCGCCGAGTCTGAGGGAGGAGAGCGGGCGGCCCGGGCTCTGGCTGGGGACTCCGGGCTGGGGCTGGAGGCTGGTCAGGGACAGTGGCAGGCAGGCTGCGCGCAGTGTGAGATCCCCGAGGAGGACCGGGCTCAGGGGGCTCAGGAGAGAGGGCTTCGGGGGAGCTGAGCTCACCGCAAGGAGGCCATGACCTGGGCGGGATGGGGTGGACGCCGGGCGGGCGCAGACTGCGGTTTGAGAGCAGTAACCGGGAGCCGAGAACAAACGGACAAGCAGATGTTTACTGAGTGCTCTGCACAGCCAGGCACCGCACAAGGCCTTCTTTTTCATTGCTGCTTGCGGTGTAGACTTTCAGGAAAATCACAGCCTTTCGTGGTGGTGAAATGTACATACATTCATGATTTTAACCATTTTCAGTCCAGTTTAGCGGGGTGGAGCACATCCACGTTGTCGAGCAGCCCTCACTACTGTCCGTCTCCCCAAAACTTTTTCACGGTCCCCAGTGAAACTCAGCATCCATTAAACACTTTCCGCTCCCCCTCTTTCCAGACCCCGAAACCACGCTCCTTTATCTCGAACTTGACTCCTCCAGGTGCCTTGTACAACAGGAAGCACAATGTTTGTCCTTCCGTGTCTGGCTTATTTTACTTAGCATAATGCCCTCGTGAGTCACTCAGGTTGCAGCACTGATTAGAATTTCCTTCCTTTTAAAGGCTGAGTAATATTCCCTTGCGTGGCCATATCACATTTTGTTTATCCAACTAAATTCTTTGTGGGTGTTAGCTTGCTCCCTCCCTCTTTTTCTTCCTCTCTCCTATCTGCCTTTCTTTCCCTTCCCTCCCTCATCTCAACCAGTATTTGTTGAGTATCTACTGTGTACCCACCCACCCACTCATCCATCCACCCACCCACCTCTCCATCCATCCATCCACCTATTTCTCCATCGTGTTTCTAGTTACTGGGAAAACAATAATGAACAAAATAGACCAAAAATATTCTTGAAGTGCCTTATGTTCTTGAAGAAAAAGAAAATGAATACAGTATATAATTTTAGGAGTTACAAGGACTTAGGAAAGAAATGCATGCAAAGGCCCTGTGATAGAGGCGCTCTGGTGAGTCCTCAGCAAGACCAGTGTAGCTGGAGTAGAGTGGAAGATGAAGGTGTCGAGGTCATGGAAAGTCTGGCTCCACAGGATACATAATGTGTTGTCCTCACTGCACAGACTGGGAAACTGAGACTGAGAGAGAGGAAGTGGCTTGTCCGAGGTCACTTGGTAAAAGGCAGCATGTGAACTCTACAACTACCCTAAGCCTTCTTTCTCCTGGCCCTGTGGCACGCACTTGCCTGTGTCCAACAGGATTTTAACGCATGCCAGAAGAATGAACTCACCGATCCTTCCCTGCTGGTGTGAGAACTCAGGTGTCCCTGAGTTACTTGGTAGCCCTCACTGTGGGGGCGGGAAGCTGAGAGGGTGTTGGGTCATTCACCAGGGTGTGCAATGCTAAGAGGTGGCCGTGACTCCAGCCCAGGTGAGAGCTCTTTGCCCCCCGGGACATGGGGCAGAGGGGCAGCCGCTGGGCAGTGGGATTAGCAGCAAAGGCAAAGACACCTCTTTCATTGTTGCAGGAAGAGGGAAGGGCGGCCTGGGTGCGCGTGGAGTGTCAGGTGGCAGGAAGTCCGAGTTTGTCCAGTGGCTTTGTTTCCTCTTGCAAGATGGCAGCCAGCTGATCTCGGGGGCCCCTGGGCAGGTGGGGCTCGGGAGGCCGAGGACAGTGGAGGAGGTGCCCGTGTGGAATAGGTGATGGCGCGTTTTAAGGGGCACCATCTCGCAAGTGGGGCGATTGTGTTGGTCACTTTTCCCAGGCAGCCCGGGTGGAGGCAGAGGAGTCACAGGCCTGACCAAGATAGCCGCGGGGATGCTGGGAAGGGAGCTGAGGGCAGGCAGAGGGAAGGAGTGGACTTGGGTGCAGGAGAAGCACAGGGAGGGCCTGGTGGGGAGGCTGCAGGGGAGGCCGCTGTCTTTGGGGTGGAGGAACAGGAAGGGCAGAGCCGCCCACAGCGTCAGCTGCACAGGAGGCTGCGTCAGGGTGTGCGCTGCGGGGCTCTGTGGTTGCAGAAGTGGAGACAGAGGCGGTGGGTGTGGCTGTGGACAGGCGGGAGGCGGGGCCGGGGTCTCAGCCATGGGGAGGTCACGGGGCTGGTAAGCTGGGAGCCCCCTTTGCTCATGGCCCCGACTCCCCGTGTCTCCGTGTACAGTGACAGGCAGGTGGGCCTGGCACACGCCATTCGATCCCCAGGAAACCCTAAGAGGTCCAGGACTCCTGGGTGCCAGGACAGGGGTAACTGGCTTATCAGAAGCGGCTTGTGCAAGAGGCAGAGCCAGGACTTGAACCCAGATCAGCTGAGCATTAAACTTCCCGCTAGTGTTTCCTGACAGAGCCCGGGTCCCTAGGACAGGGTGTTCAGCGAGTCTCATGGGAGGGCAGACAGATGCCCCTCTGCCTTCCCTGGGTCCCCGGGGCTCTGGGTTGGAGATATTTTAGGGCCCACCACATGCTATGCCTCAGTTCTCCCTTCTGCCTGCAAGATGACACACAATGCCAGCTCCCAGACGAGGAAACGGGGCGGGGGTGGGGTGGGGCCAGGTGCCCGCTGTTGCAGGGTGAGCAAGAGGCAGTGCTGGGATTCGAACCCCAGCCCACCTGCCCCAGCGTGGCTCTGCTGTGGGTCCCACGTGGATCTCTGGTCGCCTCTCAGAAGTGTGTGAGTCAGTACCTGTACCCGCCAGCTGCCAGGCAGTTCCGTGTGTGTGAACCTGGGAGCCCTCCATCTCTGACCCATCGACTCCTGTTCAGCCCCGAGTCTCCCCCATGTCCTCAGCTGCTCAGGTCGCTGCCTCCCCAGTGGCAATTCCGGTCACTTAGCACCAGGACAGCCAGGGGGGAATCCACCCTCCTGTCCTCTGCATCCCCTCAACACAGCTCAAACCCTTACCTCTCACCTGCACAGGTGTGACAGCATCAAGCTGGTCCTGCTGCTTCCACACTGGGCTCCTCCCACTGCTCCCACCCCAGGCGAGTGCATTCCACACTCCGCATCTAAGTCTTAAATCCAAACATCTCCCTGAAACCTGCTGGATATCATGAATCTCCACTGCAGCTGTAACAAAACCTAAACACACCCAAGCAGCCTTGGCTAGCATCTGTCTGTCCTTCCATCCTCATCTCTCCATCGGGAGCTGTGCTAGACCCCTGGGCTCCTCTGAGCCCCTTTGAGCACCATCTGGCTCATGCCTTCCTACCCCGGGGCCTTTGTCTGTGCTCTTCCCGCTGCCTGGACTCACTACTTCCCACCGCTCTGCCTGTCCTCCTCCTGCAGATCTCAGCTTGAAGGTCGCCTTCCCCTTGCCAGCATTCTCTTCTAATTCCTGTCTCAGCCCTGGGTGTTTTCCTTCCTGTGCCTTACTTTAATCTGTAATTGCTTTGTGTTTGCTGCTTCTTGTGGCTGTATTTTTCTCTCTATGGCACTGAGCGCCGCTGGACGTCCCTTGTGTTTTATTTAGTTATTCTCACTACTTGTCTGTCTCCCACAGACAGGCCGGGGTCTGCAGGGCTCTGCCCCGCGCCCCAGGCCTTAGCAAACATCCGAGGGAGAAGTGGCATCACGCACTGGGGCTTCATGAGGGCAGCGGCCCCCAGAGCCCAGCCTGGTACCTGGCATGGCCCTGTGAGAACAGGCTGGAAAGTGAGGCCATTGCAGAACCGCTGCTTCCGTCGCCTGTGCCCTTCCTGCCTCGTGAGGGCTCCGCTCCCCAGCCCGGGACATCACCCAGAGGTGGCGGTGGGGGAGCCTGCCTCTCCCGGGCTGGCTTCCCAAGGTCCGCAGGGCAGAACACCCCTGAGCCCAGGGCCGGGACGCTGGCGTTTCACAGACCCACTGCCACGGTCAACAGCACGCAAGGCCTCTGGCGTCCACATGGGGCTTTACCATGGCCAGAGGCCTCAGCCAAAGCCCCCGGGCCCGGGCCTCCGCCCAGCTTCAGGCCCCAGTGCTTCCTGGGGGCTCCTCCTCTTGCCACAGCAACCGGGCCTGCGCCTCGAGTTTCTGTCCTTCCTCCCCTCTCCGTTGTGGACAGCGGCCTCCGCCTGGGGAAGCCACCTTCACTTTGGCTTTGCCTGCTTAGGCGACATCTTGTCGACCGACATCTTCGAGCCCAGGTACGGGTTCCACTTCCAGTCCTTGGGAGCACTGATGCCGCCCGGGGGTCTCAGCTGCCCCAGCCTCCCCCACCCCACGGCCGTGGACGTGGGCCCTGGCGCTGCCCGCTGAGCGCCTCTGGGACCGGCGCCCGCGAGGTCTGGCCACACAGGAGCCCCTGCCCGCCGCAGCCGCCCTCTCCCCTCCTCAGCTCGCTCTTACCCACCCCGGGTCTCCGTACGCACCTCCCCCTTCAGGAAGCGTCCATGCTGGGCGCCCCACCTCTGGCTCCCGTGTCCTCCCCGACCCTCTCGGTGGCACGCAACCCTGTGGTCCCGACTTGCCAGCTGCCTGCCCGGCTCCAGCACCTGATGGGGAGCCCGCTGAGGGCAGGGACAGGCTGACTCAGCTGCTCCCCAACGCCCTGCAGGCCCGGCGCTGGGTGGTGCCAGGAAGTGTTGGCAGTGTGAACAAAGCCAAAGCCGTGATCCTTGTCTCCCCCGCCCTCAACCCCAACGCCGGCCCGGGCAGCTGCCTGCTCCGGCCTCTCCTCCCCGGGTGGGCGGGAGCTGCTCTGCTCCAGGGCACAGGTCTTCACCTGAAGCCACCTTCTCCTCAGCCTCCCGTCACCCTTCGTGAATGCACACGACATGCCTGTCCTCACGCTGGTCCCCACCTCGCACACGACACATGCTACTCCTCCCAGTGTGTGTTCAATCTGTGGCAAGGGCAGGTTTGGGTTTTGCTCACTGGTATCACAAATCTCACAGTGCTAGTGAATGCTTGTTGAATAAATGACCACAAGACTCTTCAGTCAGAAGTGTGAAAAAAGATTCCAATTTGTGGGCCAGGGATTTAGCTTAGTGGTTTCGCCTCCTGCTGCGCAGGCGCAAGGACCCGAATTTGATCCCCGGTACCAAAAAAAAAAAAAAAAGAAGCGTGCATGCTTCTGTGGGGCCTAACCATCTCTGCGGATCGACTCTCTGTCTCCCGCGGCCTGAAGACCTGATGTCACCGGCCACCTGCTGCACAGGTGAGGGCACAGCGGGCCCTAGTGGCCACAGCTGAGAACAGCAGCTTCTGAGTTTGCGGAGGCCTCACTAAAGCGGCAGGCAGAGCGCTGGGCTTGCAGAAACAGCAGGCAAGCAGGCCTAACCCCTTCATCAAAGGAGGGACCAGAGCCATCCCTCACATCACTGAGCCTAGGGGGAAGGAACTTGGCTCGGTCAAGCATCATTCTGGACAATCCATGTTAATCGTCTTGCGCCCCCTACAGCCCATTCTCCTCACAGCAGCCAGAGTAAGTTTTAAAAAATGGAAATTGGACGGACTCCAAGAACCAAAGCCCTCCAAACACCTAACACCAGGTTTAGAAAAAAATCCAAGATCTGGGAGTAGTGGCCCATTCCTGGAATCCCAGAAATCTGAGAGGCTGAGGCAGGAGGATCAAAAGTTTAAGCCCAGCCTGGACAATTTAGCACGACTCTGTCTTAAAACACACAAAGGAGGTGCTTGATAAATGTTTGTGGAGTGAAAACCTGACGCTCAGTAACCCTAGGATAACACCACGGGTCAGGCAGGAAGCGTCAGGGTCTGGACTTCCCTACCTCCTGGACAGCAACCCCCAAACCAAGAGCCCTGGGGTGGCCAAACCCGAATATGATCGGCCAAGTCACACAGCACTGAGTCCTTCCCACAGCGACTTGATTTTATTCTCAGAGGAGAACAGGGAGGATCAGTGGGGTTTAGTCACTAGCCCAGGCTCACCCACCTCCGCCTCCAAAGCCTCCAAAGCCACGGAGGCGCCAGGCGAGGTTCAGGTGGGGAAGGATGCGGATGGGGGGGGGTCCCCATAACATCAGGGCGCCGTGGAGCCACGTGGGGTGGGGGACGAGGCGAGGAGCAGCCTGCTGGGCGGGAGGCACGGGCAGAGGCGTCCAGACAGCGACTGTGAAGGCCACGAGCCACCCTGCGGGTGACTTTCCCGATGTCAGCGCAGGGCCGGGCACAGGGCCACCCTGAGCTGCGCAGACCCCACAGCGGCGCTCAGCAAGCTCACAGGTCTGGGTCACAAGGTCACGGCCCGTCCCCTCCCAAGCCCGCGTGGGGGCCGGGCCGAGGCAGCTCCCCTTTCTTCGGAGTCCCGGGCCCTATAGGGCGGCGGCGGCGGCCTCCACGGCGGCTCGGGCGCGGCCCCGCGTCCCCTCCGCGTCCCCTCCGCCTCGGTGCTCGCGCTCGCCGATGGCCAGGCGGGGCCGGCCGCGGGCCAGGCCGTCCAGCAGTGCGCAGGCCTGGCAGAGCGCGCGGCTGGCCAGCGCCCCGCAGCGGGAGCAGGCGCCGGGCCGCGGGGGCCGCACGGCCGGGGCCAGCGCCAGGCGCTCGGCCGAGTGCACGAGGTCCAGCGCCGCCGTGGGCCGCACCGCCTCCAGGCGCTTGAGCAGGTCGCGCGCGTGGCCGCGGAAGGCCTCGGGCGCGTACACGCACTCCTCGGAGAAGTAGTCGAGGCGGCGGAAGTGCGCGTACAGCACCACCTCCTTCTGCGAGGCGAACTGCAGCGGGCGGCAGCGCGGCAGGGCGCCCCCCTCGCCCCGAGAGCCCAGGCCCCCGCCCCGGGCCAGCCGTGCCGCGTCGCCGCGCAGGAAGTTCATGAGCACCGTCTCGGCCATGTCGTCGGCGTTGTGGCCTGCGGAGAGACGCGGGTGAGCGTGGGCACAGCCAGAAGCCCGCACAGCTGCTCCGGAGGACTCGGGGCGCGCTTGGCACCCGCCTGCTGCACCAGGCCCTGTGGTTGTCGCCCCTGCACATAGGGAGCCCCAGGTTGCTCCTGTAGCCCCACCCCCAGGGGCCCAGGTCCCTGTCCTTCCTAATCCAGGGAACCTGGGGCTGTGTTGGGTTACAGGGCAAAGGGGAGTTAAGGCTGCAGGCTGAACTGGGGTTGGGGCGCTGACTTGTAGAGGGAGAGTACCCCGGATGACTCGGCAGGTGCCACACAATCACAAAGCTCCCTGAAGTGGAAGAGGGAGGCAGCAGAGTCAGGATGGCAGCTGTGAGGGCAGGAGTAAGGGTCAGAGCTTTGCACCCTGAGGAATCAATCGGCCAAGGCTGGCTCTGAAGAAGAAGGAACGGCCAGGAGCCAGGGATTTCTGTAGACTCTGGTAGCTAGAGGAGGCAGAGAAGCTTCTCCACAGGATATCAACCCTGCTAACACCTTGGTGTTAGCCTGGGGAGAGAACCCTGCAGGGTCTCTGACCACCACAACTACAAGGATAATTTGTCATGGCAGCAACTGGAAACTAATCATGCTTGACATAGTACCTCTGGCCACAGAGACTATGTGTTTCTGTTATCTTTGTTTACTACTTACCATAAAATGGAAACCAAATCCATGCTTACTCTGTGTCTCTGTCAAGTTGTATTTGATGGTTCTCAACTAGGGGTGATTCTGCCTAATTGCCCTCCCTTCAGGGATATTAGCAAAGCCTAGAGAGACATGTAGGGCTGTCATGACAGGGTGGGGTGATACCAGCAAGCAGTGGGCATTGGGGACGCTGCTAAAATCCTGCAGTGCACAATTACCTGGCCCCAGAAGTGCTTAAGCTGAGAAGCCCCAGTTCATGAGGTGAAACCCACCAAGAACTTTGCTCTGATTATGTGTGCAGTTACAGTTACTTTCTAAAGGTACCCGCCAAGAGACCTTGAGAGCAGGTGTCTTTGTACCTGGAAACTATGTCTGACTAAATGTTTACTGCCCGAGAGCCTGGTGACTTCAGGTTACAAACCGTGTGACTCACAGGAGGCTGGATCTGCTCCACACCTTGTCATTACAACCCATCTGAGAGCTCAATAATTAGAATAATTATTGCAAAATGCCTTTGAAAACAGATTATATAAACAAAGGGTAGGAATCACTTTTATAAATGAGGGATTTTTCTGGAAGCTTTCATTATTTTTACAAGCACAATTAATAATACGTGATTCTAACAAATTAATTTTAAGGCCCAAGGCAAGATTTCATTCTTTTATACTGACCACTCTTATGTGGGAAGGATTGTTCTCCCTGTTTTTCATCAGAGAAAGCTAAGGCCCCGAGATCCAGGGATTTGTCCAAGTGTACATAGTAAGGGAGGTGCTAAAGTAGTGAATGAAGCTCAGTCTGCCATCCCCAGAATCCATGCGCTAGCACAGTGGGAGAAGAAACACAGATGTACCTTGACTTCTGTACCCCTGAATGTGTTGAATCTCCCCTTCCGGCCTCCTGCCACCATCATCTCTCAGTAGATGAGGGTGCCTGCCCTCCTCCTAACTGGTCTCCTTGGCTCTATCCTTGAGTTTTTCAAAGACCTTTTCACTTTCACAGGATTCCCCGCTGCCTGAAGGGTAAGACCTGAAGTCTTCCGACAGCTCCAGCCTTTTCTCCCCTTGCTGTCTGGCCTCCTGCCACAAAGGAGTTCTTGGCTCCACTGATTTCCTCTGCCACAGTCCTTGGTTCCTTTCACCTCAAGCCTTCGGATCTCAGCTTCTCTGACTCCCTCTCATGTCATAAAGTCCTCTTTTTGCATACACAGCCCATACATTTTCTTCAGTAACATTTATGATCACTTATAATTTTGTATGAGAACTCTGCAATATTAGGAATTGTGCCTAACTGTATTTTTAGCCCTAGCACAAGGATGATGCTACTATCACATATATGTGTAATATACATATAATATACCACATGTATATTATACTACATGTATATATTTATATGTAATGACATTATATTATACATAATGAAGATAATGAAATTATTAATGAAATATGAAAAGATAATGAAAATAACACCTATATTTATGCCTACAAATAATGAAATAACAACTATACTAATGATGAATGAAAATAACCTCTATATTTATGCCTAAAGATGACATATATACATACATGTGCACATTGTTTACTCTTACTAACTTGTCTAATTGTCATAATCAATGTATGAGTTAGATGCCATTAATACAACTGGGCTTTTTTTTCTTTTCTGAACCCAGGGCCTTCACACTGAGCTACATTCCAGCTTTTTAATTTTTTGACACAAGGTCTTGCTAAGTCCCTAGGCTTGAACTCACAATCCTCCTGCCACAGCCTCCCTCAGTGCTGAGATTACAGCCGTTCACCACCACACTGGGGTAATACTCCTATTTCAGGGATGAGAAAACAGAAGTGCAGAGAGCTTAAGAAATTTGCTGTGGTCGCCATTTGGATCTGGCATAGGAGAGACAGTGTGTTGATGGAAAGGATGAGAAAGATAATCAAGCATGTTAGAAACAAAAATAAGTGAAGGACCAAAGATCTAAATCCCAGAAACTGACTTCTATAGCTTGACTCCTTTGCCAACGTGTGGAGACCAGACCCAAGTCTTTGTAACAATGCCCTGCCTGGTACATTATCTCCGGGTACTGGGGGCTTTCAGGGAGCTTCGGCCCTAAACTGGAGCATGTGCACATTCCGTATCCTTCCTAGGTTATTTCCCTTAGGCCTGGGCCAGGATCTCTATCCAGGCTCACATCTTGGGCATGCGCCTCAGGGCCTTTTAGCGTCCTCCTGTGCAAGTGCCCAGTATCACGCATGCGCTCCCTCCCTCTGCCACGCATGCGCTCACCGGTCACGATGTGCGTGGCTCCCACGAGGCGCGCCCCTTCCTCCAGCGCTCGGCGCCGCAGCACCCCGCAGAAGGTGCAGCAGGAGCGGCCGCGGCCGGTGCCGGCCGTGCTGCGGGCCACGGCGTCCATCGTCCAGCCCCTGAAGAGGTCCTCGTAGGCCACGACGGTGAGCGGCAGCTCCCAGCGCGCCGCCTGGCGTCGCACAGCCGCCAGCGCCTCGTCGCGGTAGCCGCCGATGCCCTCGTCCACGGCCACGAGGCGCAGCGCGACGTCCAGGCGCGGCGCGAGCTCCCGTAGCACGTGCGCGAGCACGGTGGAGTCCTTGCCGCCCGAGGCGCCCACAGCCACCACGGCGCCGGGCGGTAGCAGGCGGCCCGCGACCACCGTGTGCAGCACCTCGGCCTCGAAGGCGGCGCAGAAGCAGGGTCCGCACAGCGCCTGCCCCGAGCGTGGGCGGCGGAGGGCGGCGCGGGCCGCGTGGCAGGAGGCGCAGGTCGGGGCGGGCATCACGGGGTCACGGGGCGCGGCGTCTCCTGGGGAGAGAAGTGGGTGACGCGTGAGGCCTGGATGGCGTCGCTGTGTGGAATGGACCAGGACACGTGGGCACGGGGAGGAGCTTCGTCCTGAGCTGGGATTGGAGGTTTCTGCCGGGTTCCGCGGAAAGGGTTTCGCCGTCTGCGGGAAGACTTGGATTTGTACCCCTTATGCACCGAGAAGAGTTGTTTTCAAGGGGAAAGAGAGGAAGAGAAAAGCAGGTTATACTTGGAACGAGGTTTGTCCATTCCAGAGGGACCGGGGTGCCTTTGAGGACCAGTTGCACATCCTGCAGGGGGGCCAACTTTGCTATGGCCTTGATCTGAGGGACAAGGTGGCTGTCACCTAACCTGTTGGTGGTTCACTTCCTCTAGAGACAAAAAGGCAAGAGGATTGCATCTCTGCCTCCAACACAGTTGTACTTGTTTTAGGTGCACAAGCTTCTCTGGCCTCCTGGAGATGCGAGTGAACCCACCATTGACCATTTCAGTTCTCCCCTTTCCTGCCTCATCCCTCCCCACCCAGCCGTGACACCAGCCTTCCAGCCATCTTCCTTGGCCCTGCCTACCTAGGGAACCCGTAAAATCTCACCAGGCTCAGTTTCTCTCTCCAAGCCATGGTCATCTCCAGCTTGGGCTACTGTAGTGGCCCCTTCCGGTTCAGACCACGTCAGGCTCTGACCAGCTAGGGTGTGCCAATGTCTGCTCATCCTCAACTGGGGAGCAACAGCTCCCTTCACCTTGCTGTTTTATAAGTCAGCATTTACTGTCTGTAACCTCCACAAGGCCAGGGCCCAACCCCAAATCCCCGATTCCTTTAACCAAAAGGGCTTCTTCAGGAAAGGGCAGCTCCACACTTCAGCTTTTCAGGCCAGAAGCCTTGGGGTCTGGGCACCTGGACTGTTCTTTTTCTCACCACTCCTGTCACTCACTCGCCCTGTGGGTGGCTCAAGGTCAAGTTCTGACTCTTCTCCAGGAGCATCATGAGAACTCAGATCCTAGATCCTCAAGGAAGGAGAACATGGCAAATCCTATTTGTACTTTGAAAACAGTAGAAGCCAAACACAGTGTCTCCAACTGCTGGCGTCCTTCTCTGGGCCACCTCTCTCCTGGACCATTGCAGGATGCAGCTCACTCATCTCCCTGCTGCCACTAACTCTCTTCCACACAGCTCTTCTCCATACAACAGCTAGGGGGCCCCTGCCCAGTTTTCACATCTGTCTGTGGGTCTTATCTCACGGTAGTAAATGCTGATGCTCTGGGGCCCTAGGCAGTCTGGCTTCTTTCACCTGACCTCATATCCCCCCAACCATAGTCCCTCTACTCTCAAGGACATAGGGAACATGCCTGCCTCTGCCCCCATCACTGACACATCCCACAGCCCAGGATCATCAGGCACACCCATCAGAGCTGAGCGATGCCCCTAGAAACCTTTTCTCCCCTCGCTTTGAATCAACCGTCTCTCTCATCTCTTGGAGTTTGTCCTTCAGCTCCTCTGCTTTTGCGAAGCACTCTTCCTGGCCTCAGGTCCCACTCAGCACCTTCCTGTCACTGTTTGTGGGTGGCTCTGAATCAGGATACTCAGATGCACACGCAGGCTCATCTCCCAAATACCCTGCTGAATATCCCTGCTGGGGGAGCCGTCAAGATTCTCTAGCCTGACCTGCTTCTCCCTCACAAGGCAGGAACCTGTTCTTTTAAAAAGGATTCCATTAGCCATTGTGAGGGAAGGCTACGTACGGGGCGCAGGCAGAAACAGGAAGCCAGAGCGGAGGCTGTGGCAGCAGTCAGGGAGAGATGACCTGGGCTGCACGGGTCAGGGTTGGTAGGTGTCTGGGATGAAGGAAGAGTAAGTGCGCAGACAGGACAGAGATCCTAGGGTCTCCTCCCCTAGGAATCCGGCCATGTCCTAAGGACAATGTGACGTGGCTCCATCAGGACAGAGGTGCTAGGGCAGGTGAGGGCTCCCAGACGTACCCACCTGGGGTCGGGGTCAGGAGGATGCTCTTATCCGGGCAAGGAGAAGAGCATGGTCTGGCAAGAGGCCGACCAGACGCGTGCGGGGCGCAGGCGTTGGAAATCGCAGAGGCGAGTGTCACCACCCCACAGACCGTCAACTCTCCCAAAGCACCGCGGCACTGAGCGCGGCGCGCGTACCGAACCGCGTGGGGTGCACTCACCTGAGCGGGACGCAGCTCAAAAACCTTCAAACTAGCAACCACGCGTAATCCGATACGGAAGTGGCTCTGAGACTACGACTCCCATAAGGCTTTGAGGCTACTTTGCCTACTACTCCCAGAATGCAACAGCTACTTCAGGGCGACTGTGGCTCTGGGTCCGCTTGGCCTACGACTCCCAGCAACCTATGCGTCCCCTGGTTTCCCTCTGCTCACCGCGCTGTTTTTTCTGCGCCTGCGCAAGGTGGTGAGACGCGGTGGAACTGCTTGCAGAGTGGTTGCCATGGCAGTTCAGAGTCTCAGTGCTGAATGCCTCAAAGGCTCAGTTGCAGCCTGCTGATTTCCTAGTTTTGTTGGATCAGTATAGAGTCTTAAAGAGATTGCAGAGCATGTGATTTCTACCCTTTGAGGTGGGGTTGCAGGTGGGACAAGCGGGAGGGAAGTGGGCAGATTTGGCGGATGGGGCCAGAGTGGGCGGAGACCTGCTGGGGGTGGTAGTGGTGCGCGTGCGCAGGTAGACGGGACGCGGAGCTTGGTGGGGCCGAAGGGTTTCTCTGTGGACGTCAGCTGTCAGCGATTTGGGATGTGGTTTCTCTGCACATGTCCTGGCTCTGGGTAATGAGTGCACGTGGGTCCCCTGCGCAGATGTGTGTCTGGCAGTGAAACGACTGCACGCTACCTTCACGTGTAAATGAAGTGGAGGCCAAGATGGCTGATGGAGAAGTTTTCATTTATCAGAGACCCTGTGGACCCTGACTTCCAAGATGAAGAAACCAAAGATTTCTTAGGCTTCCCTTTCTCCAGCGTCCCCATCCCCACCCCATGCCCGAATCTTTTCCATAGTGTTCCCAGATCCAACGTTGTATCTTCCCTTCTCAAGATCTTCCATGGTTTCCTAGTGCTACCAGGATGAGTCAAACCGCTCAGTCTGCATTGGAAGACATACCCACCTTTCCGTTCTCAGCATTCATTGCCTGTGTGGGGTCATTCAGACGCCCTCCTAAACAGTTACTGTCTGGTAGAAGATACCATGGCGCAGCCTTACTGGTACTCTGTATCTCTGACCATGGAGGCTTTGGTCTCGGGAGCATCACACATCTCCGAAGGCTGCGCCTCCATCTGGTCCTGGTCACAGCACTCGTCACAGTATCCACCCAGGGCTAGGCAACTCCCGTGGATAAAACTGGCATACAGGGCCTCATACACTGAACTCAGGATCACCTAATACAGAGGAAAGAGGTTGTGTGTGTGTGTGTCTGTCTGTCTGTCCCTGCAATGTGCTCATTCAGTTCCTGTTTTGGTCCAGGTCCAGCTCTCTTCCAACTTCCTTCTAGTCTGTTTTGCAGATCTCTGTTAGACAGTGAGGCCACTTTAGTTCCCTCTGCATTCTGAAGGAATTGTCTGCCCCATCTTGATGGGCTCCAAGAGGCCACAACTCAGGCAGGTCCAACGAATACCTGGGCATCTTTAGAACTATCAAATTGTGCCAGGTCTCCTCAGGTTGTAAAGTATCCACACTCTGAGTTCAGAATGAGAGAGGCTGTATGGGCTCAGGAAGAGGCAGATGAGCCAGTCTGGGCCGTGGCAGGGAGGGAGGGACTGGATCTGTTGGCTTCTCATACTACTCTCTGCATCCAGATGAAGGCCTCAAGTTGTGTGAAACATCTCAGCTGTTCCCACCATGAGGCCAGATCTGTGGCTGCTCTGGCACTGCACACAACACTAGGCTGGCTGAACTGGGGCCTGACCTCCATGTATCCTCATCTTCAAACCCGAGAACATGCAGCTTCGGTGAAACAAACTGGGCCTGAGAATGGGGGTGAAGAACTCACTTGCCCCAGCCATGGCCTGGAAGAAAAATCGTATGACTGGTAAAGAATTTACACAATGTATATACAGATATACAGAAAGTATATGGTACCATTATGTCCATATGAGTGTGTGTATATGTGTATTGTCAGAGAATATGAACTCATTGAATATACATCTATATCCATATGTAGAGATGTATGGATATAGATATGCGCTCCAGGTCATGTTCTATCCTCTTCCTCTTCTCCTCAGACTCTTACTCTGGGATCCTCTCAGCCTCTTGGCCTCCACCCTCCTCTGCTCCCTGAGGTTTGTCTCATCATAGAAAATGAAGAACCGCCCCCCCCAAAAGAAAATGAAGAAGCCCTGCTACTCAGATTTCAAATGTCTCCTCTATTCATGCTTTATTTCAGGAAGTTAAAAAGGGAGTGACTGGAAGAAAGAGACTCTGTTAAATGAGGCCCCAACTGGAGCTATAAATTCACTGTACTTACCCTTTCTAACAGAAACAAAACTCAGGTTATCATTCCCCTTTCAGATACCTCAAAGTACATAGACACCAGGAAAGTCAGATTCTTCAGGGAACTTTGTTCTGGTGAGAAACTGGCTGAGGGATGAAGTTATACAGAAAGGAGGCCCGAGTCAGGTCCTTCTATCACTGATCTTGATACTAGAAATGCCCACTTAGTGTATAAATGAACACATGACGTTTAAATATGAGGAGCTAAAATTTCATCAGCAATGTCCAAATCAGAGATTCAGTAAAACACTACATACACACAATTAAATAGGGTCAAGTACAAAAGAGAATGAAGGTTATTGGGTGAGGGTGAACGTTTTTCTCAATTCTGAATGCTTAGCTCTCCTCCGGAATGACTATGGAGAAAAAGCTGGCTGGGACAACCTTGAGAGTTTTCATGGCTACCCTCCAGTATGCAGCCAAAGTCTAGAAAAAGCATTCCAGAGAAGTGTCAGATTTCATTGCGTCTATCCTGGAGGCTTAACAGAGCTTAACAACTTCCATAATTCTGTTTTGAGTTGAAGTTATCGGGAATCACAATGTGCAGCACAGAGCAGGGGAAGCAGCTCAACAGGAGAGTTCTTCCCTAGCATGGAAGAGGCCTTGTGTTCAATCCTCAACTCCACAGTATATGATATATGATACATACAGATAATTATTAAAACCCAAAGACCAATGTATCCAACAAAACTGCACAGACATACTGAAGGGTACGTTTGTAGCCCCACTCTGCATACATTCTCAAATTAGAAGTAACTCACATGTCCACCCAATTAGAAAGGTTGTATAGTATATGATATGTGAACATAGTGAAATTCTTTCAGTAGAGGAAATGAATGAGTCACTGTTATAGGACACAACAGTGAGAATTCACACACACACACACACACACACACACACAGATTGAGCACAAGAAGCCAGACACAGAAAGCACAGGCTGAATGTTTGGAATCACATCAAAGGAAGAAACAGACAAAGCTCGTCAATGATAACAACAGTCAACTTGGTGCTTCCTTTGAGTAGGGGTAGAAACTAGCAAGGGTGCTGGTGTTTTCTTGCCTTTTCTGCTGTGCTGGAGAACAAACCCAGGTCTTTGTGCCCAGAGATGACATGTCTCCCACTGAATTCAACCTGCAGCCCTGGAGAGTTTCTTGATTTTGTTGGTTGTAACAGAAATTTATTCTTTTTACTAAAGGTAACCAAGCATATCTTTAAAATCTGAACACCTTTGTCTACATGTTTTGCTTCACTATTGTTCATCTTTTGTAACAACATAAGAGGATGCTTCTTGCAAATCTGTTACTTGATTTTTAAATTTAGATATATAAAGATACAAGAACTGTCTTCAGAAGAAATGAAAAACCCAAAGGGTCATGTAACAAACAATAAAGGAATACATTTAGTAGTAAACATTTTCCAGGGGAAAAATTTATTAACAAAATTCTGTTAAATCTGAATGGCAGAAATAATTCCAGTTTGTCATAAATGCTTCTGAGTAGGGAAGGTGCATACTCTAGCATGACTTTGGGACATCTGTTGCTGTCTCAAGACCTCGCTGAATACTGCCAATCAGGGAAGTGCTAAAGACAGAGCTCCATGAACTCCCCAGCATGGCAGTTTTGGGTCTGAAGCTGCATTTATGTGCACAATTACTGTAACTGTCCACACCCACTGGCTTTCTCTTGAGGCCACCCTTGTTTCCTCAGGCTACCCTTCCCATAATATTACTACTCAGGATGCAGAAGATTCTCCTACTTCTGCTGCTGCTGCTCTCCAGGCTGTGGCAAGGTAAGAGGACCGGGAGCCAGAGGGCTCCAGGGTGGGAATTCAGGCCAGCATCTCACTGTATTTTTCTCTCCAGGGGCTTTGGCTGAGGATTTGGGATATGGTATTGAAATGCAGCAGTTTGTGATGGTACAGGAGGCATTGTGTGTCTTCGTGTCCTGCACCGTTTTCTACCCTTGGAATTCCCAGGAACCAATCAGACCCACTTTATGGCTCCTGATACCAGCATAGAGCTGACACAGGAAGGGGTGCTCCAGTGGCTACAGACAACCCCCAAAAACAAGTGCAGGAGAGAACCAGGGGCTGATTCCAGCTCACTGGGGACCCTTAGGCCTACAACTTCTCTCTGAGCATCACAGAGGCAAATAAGGAGGCACTGGGGCAGATCTCTTTTGAGTGGAGAGAGGATATTATACAAAATGCAATTACCAAGAACAGAAGCTGTTCCTGATTGTCACAGGTGAAGTAAAGGCAGAGGTAATCTTTCTTCTTTATCCAAGGACATGGGAGGCATGGAAAGATGCTGGGAGGCTCCTGCCAACACATGTCTATCAGTCTCAGTCATAGTCCAGCCCACATGGACAGCACATCAGAGGTTGCCCAAGGATGAAGGGTGAGGGGAAGCAGAAGGAATTCCCAACTATGTGAGAAAATTGGGAATTGAAGGATAGCTTCATCATCTTGACTGTGATGATGGCTTCTGGATGTATACATATTTTATTTTATTTTTGTATATCCTTTTATTGGTACATTTTAGGTGTACAACATAATGACATTCATCACTGGAGATACGCACCTTTACATACTCTCTTGGTTCTTATTTTTTTGTATACATATTTTAAAACAATACATTGCAACTTTCAATATACAGGAAAACTTTGGTTTATGAGCATAATGCATTCCGGAAACATGTTTGTAAATGTTATTACCATGATAAAAAATAAAAGTCTGATTCTTCCATGTTTTCAAACTTGATTTCTCACTTTAAGGAAGGAAAGTCATGATGTGAGCTGTTTTATGGAAGCCACCAGTATTTCCAGGCATTGACAGCAGCATTAATACAACAACCAGTGAGAAAATGAAGTCTTCAGCCTGATTCCTTTGAGGGCTTGACTCCTGCAAGAGAACAGGAAATATCCTGCAATGGGATCCTTCCCCAAAAGCTTTGAAATGATTATAGAATCACTTGACGTCTTGATTGTAGCTTGTGAGAAACACGATGTACAGCGAGTGAAGTTGGACTGCTTCCAGAACAAAAGACCCTGGAAGATAAAGTTTTGTTTGAAGATTTTGAGTCTTGACATTTTTTTATGCAGGGATAAATCATTAATATACTATTTACATTGATAGCTTTGATAAACTTGGGCTTTTTCACACTCACATCCTGATATTGGGGACAGCTTTCCTTCTAGCAATATTCTCATCCTTATGTTGATGGTCAAAGTTCTCCCCCATAGAAATCACTCATGACACATCCAGGGATGGTACTTGCTCCCACTGGAGCTCCACAACACTGGTCACACTTGTCACTGAGATTATGACATGCTGACAGCATGCACTAATGAAGGCCAGAAAGCTTCTGTATCCTGAAGAGAGAAATCCAGTATGTTGGGTCTCATAATTGTTTGACATTGGAAAAACTCTGACACACATTCTGTTAAGTAGAAGTGTGGACAAGATACGCAGGGTTCTGAACCAAGAGAGGAGGATGTGGGTAGACCGAGGATGAGTCAAACCAAATCTTAACCTCTCTTAGGATGCAGAAGTCACAGTTCAGGTGCTCAGAAAGAGGCTACTCTGAACATCACAGTCTTGTTTCCCCTTCTGGTATCTAGAGTGTTCCATCTTCTCCTGAGCCCTGACACAGATACCTGGCATTTAAGTACTGTGTTCCTTAGAATGTAGCACCCCTAGAATCTGACCTGTATCATGCCAAGGTCTTTTAATAGGGTCCCCTCTTCTGTTCCCATTGATAGAGCCCTCCCTGATATCCCTGGTTGCAAGAAATCCCGACAGCCCATTGTTCATCTACCTTGGCATCTTTGGAGTCACTGAGATCACCCATTGGGATGAAATTCACAGAGCTGTTGTGACCATAGAGAGAACTCATTTTTCTAGCCTCTCCTTGAGGGACAGACTCTGATACTTGGCTTCCCAAGAAATGTGCAAATGGGAATGGGGTGGTCAGACTTTTGGGTAATTTGAGTGTGGATTTGGGTAACTATTGTGGAGCATTTCCTTTCTTATGTCCATGAGCCTTCAATGGAGAGTGGAGCCAATACCAACTTCCCCCTGCCAAATAACTATGTTCTAGATTCTTCACAGAAACTGGACGCCATCATATTCTGGTACAAGAGCTCTGGAGGGTGTGGCATGCCACCCAACTATGAACACAGCTGGTACAGTCACGGAGCGAGGCTTCATGCCCAACATGCCTAGAAGCCAGTATTATGGCCAACACTTCTGACAGAAAGAAAGATCTTCAATATGATGAACTGATAAGGAAACAGGAGATACTCTCAAACCTTCTTCACTGTTTGGATGATGATGAAGGAATTTAAATGCCCAAAGAAAAGGGGATATAGAAGTTGATTGGCCAAAACCAGGAGTCTTGGTAGGAAAGTCCATACGTGGTAAGCTGCTGCACTAGTGACTTACAGACACATTGCAATTGAGGTGTTTCCAGTCCTTTCGTTACTCTGGCCTATGGAGCCAAAGATGAGTGGACCTTTGCTTCCACTGAAGGTTCACAAAGCCCTAAACCTGTTCCTCAGATTTGGCTCACTAAAGATTTTTTTGGTTTTACAGAATATCAAGATCATTTCAGTTCATCCATTAGGGTTCTGTGCCTGAGTTCTAAAACACAGCCAGAACAGTCTTTCAGTTCTGAAATTTTGGACTTGTATGGATGAGTCTTAAGACCTCTGAAAACTTGACATAAGAGATGAGAAAACAGTATCTGATTTTCCTGGCCCTTTCTCCTTTCCAAGAAAGCACTGTCTGATGGGTCTTGTTCACCTCTCTTGTTTCTTTTTCTCTCCCAACCCAGGAGCCTTTTGTGAATGAGTTCCAACAGCTCATACTTTGTCCTCTTTTTCTCTTCTCATTTCTCATGGTTCTCCTGTGAGGCTTTTCCACCTTTCTGACCTCTCCAATCTACAGGAAGCTCCTAGACAATTACATTTTCCAGACTTGATTAAGGAACCACCATGATGATGCAAATGAGGTCCTATGCAGTCATATAGGCGTCTCCCTCTCACTCACCACGCTCAGCTTTTGCAGATGTCTCATTCTGCAAAGGACTCACATTACTTTCTCTTCCAATATTCCCCTGGCCCCTGCTCTAGGTTGTGTTTTATCCTCTTCCTCTTCCCCTCAGATCTTCACCCTGTTCTCTTCCCAGCCTATTGGCCTCCAACCTTCTCTGGTCTCACTAAAACCTCCAGCCTGACATTGGACCCCTGCAAGGTCTGGTTCTTTTTCATTCCTTCAGTGTCACCAAGATTTGATTCATGCATCAGTTAGCAAATTTTACTCCTGCCTCATCCATTTCTGTGCTCTCTCACTGGATGAAGTCACTTTTGTTTATTGTTTTTCACTCAGAATAGTACTTCACACACATTGTGCTTTCAGTTAATATTTTTGAAGGTAAATATGATGTTTTGTGCAAGACCCTACCATCCCAGGTCTTTGTTCCTACCCTAACAATTCTATTTGCCTTGGTGTTGTAGCACTGTTAATAGTCCCTACCCTGCTCTGTGGAGGGGCTACAGGAACAGGGAATGGTAAGTTTTGTCTCTGAGAGCACTTCATTAAATTTTGATAACAGAATAAAGCTCAGAGAAATCTCTGCCTAAGATTAATAAATCCTGGAAAGCAAAACAAGCAAGCTGGAGAGCCCACTTCCTTTATAGCAAGCAGTGAGCCTGCTCCATGTCCTGGAAGGAGACATTATCTCTTCCCTTCCTACAAATCTAACCTTGAAAACTTAGGCAAGTTAAGAGAAGTCAGTGTATCATGTTTTGTGTATACCCAGCAAGGCGAGTCAGAGTAGAACAGACTGATATTCTTAGTTATATGGTAAACCTTAGAGTGCTTTCATAAAATTCCCTTTACCAAAATAGAGTAAAAATTCTATCACTAAATAAAAATTGGCTGGGGAGGTAGCTTGTTTAAAAAAAATTCTATCACTTATGACCAACATATTAGCTTATGAAGCTGGTTCCGCATCAGAAAACAAAGAGGATGTAAGAAATAGAGAAAACTCAATACTCAAATTTCATCAGTCTGTATTTTCTTGCTTCATGCTTTATTTCAGGAAGTTAAAAAGGTGACTGGACCTGGTGTGGTGGTGCATGCCTGTAATTCCAGCATGCAAGAGGATGAGGCAGGAGGATCGACATGAGTTCAAGGCCAGCCTGGACCATGTAGTGAGACCCTGTCTAAAAAAAATGGTGACTAGAAGGAAGTGACAGCGTAGTTTAATAAGGCCTTCTTTGTGGTCAGTGGGCTGAAGGGAGGCCCAGGGAGGCAAGATTCCCAAAGAAAAGAACATGTATGGAGCAGACATTACAAAAATCAGGAACCCAACTTTATTTTCCAGCACAGAACTTACAGTAGTTCTTTTTTTTTTTATCAGCTTACTGAGACACAGGAAGACAAAACATCCTGAATGACTCTGAAGGCGTGTGGCACATGTGTGGATGCCTATGCTGATTCATTATTATATAACGAAGCCCCATTGTGCACCTGCACCGTGACAGGACTGTGGTCTCAGTCATCCAGGCTCTGACATATCTCACAGCAAGCCCCTGCACTGCCTCCTTCTAACAGAAACCCAACTGTTTTACCTTCCCTGACTCTTCCATGTACATGAAAAAATATGGACCTTGAGGAGTTGGGATAGCTGTGTGAACTCTTCTTCAGGTGGGAAATTGACTGAGGAATATTGGTGAAGAGAAAATGAGGGAGTAGACCACTAAAAAGTCTTAATTGGAAGTGTGAGCTCTACCGATCTTCGGGAAAGTTTACTCAGTTGCCAGATGGGACAGAAGTGGAAAGACTGATCAAGCCCCATGGTGATGATGATGTAGCACTTTCACTCAAGAGAAAGTCAAAACTAAATAAACACCCAGCCTCACCTAAGAGATTAATTAAACACAGCACACATGGCTCGGCTGTTCTAGAATCATTACCTCTTCATATTCCCAGTAGGCGCTTCAGTCTTAGGCCCAATGTCCTTAGGTATGACTTCATTGTCCTTAAACAAACAGGAACATTTAGACATCAGAAGAACCCTAGGATGAGAGAGGGAACAGACAAGAGGAGCATGAGAGAAGCTAAATCCAGTCCCCTCAGTCTGCTGATTTTTGGCTGTAAAAGGAGGGAGGCCAATGTCCATTTCACCTCTTCCATTAAATGGAAACAATTACAATCTTCTCCCAGATGCTGCTTTCCCTATTATATAATTGCTATCATGAATAGAGTAGAAGAATCTTTCCTTACTGGGGCGCCGTGGAATGTAGGGTTTGCTGAGCCCCAGGATTCCCAAACTTTTACAGTGGAAGGACGTGGTCAGACATGGGAAATCCTTGTTCCTTCCCAGTCAGATTTTTGTCCACAAACCTTTGATGAAACCACAGTCAACCCATGAGCTCTGCTGGAATTCTCTAATATCACAAAATGAAGCATTGGGCAAGGAATCTCCTAGGAATTCAGGCTTTGTCTGGCATGCAGCTCAAGACCTCTCTGGGGAAGAATTTCTTCAATGCTTGTTCATATGAAGTAAATGTATCTCTAGTTAATGGATTGTAAGAGAATCTCCCAGTGCAGGAAAGAGAGAGAGAGAGAAAGAGAGAGAGGGAGAGAGGGAGAGAGAGTGTTCAGATTAGGAGAAACCTAATTCAGTCCTTGTTCCTCCACTTACCGAGGGGGGAAATATCACTGCCAAGTTGTCCTGATTGTGCAAGGCCAAAATAATTAGAATTTATCACAAACCCAAATATAAAAGGCACACTCATCAGTAGACTGGAATGTCTTTGGCTGTCTTGAGACCTCATAACATACTGCAGAGTATGAAAGCGCTCAAGACAAATTTTCAAGAACAGTCCAGCTCTGGTAGCTATGGGTCTGAAGTTGCATTTATTTGCTGTTGCAGTCCTGTCCACACCCACTGGCTTCCCCTTGTGCTTGCCCTTATATGC